ACAGCATTCCTACCCCCACCCTCTTTTCTGGACTGATTTCCTGGAACTTAGAGCAACTTAGAGCTAAGGCGTAAGCCACAGTTCCCCTAATACCCCCCTCCTCTTTCCCCACATTTGCCAGAGGAGCAGAACACGTGTCTGGCATGAACTTGTCCCTGTACCATTCCCAACCTGCACACTTTGGAGTCAAGTTGTGAACACTTGAAATCTGGTGGACACAAGAAAAGCGCATCCATGATGCTCCAAGTAGTCCGGGAAGGTGGTTCTGGGCCATCAAGGACAGCGGGATTAGAATCGTTCCCTCCCTTCTCAGTCCCTGCTACCTTTTAAACAGAAAGAGGTGCCAGAGCAGAAAAACCCGGAGTCAGATGGCAAAGCAAGGAGCCTGGACCATTATCTACCCTGTGGGACCTTGAATTGAACTAAAGTGTTCCAGAGGAAGACACTGATTGCTTCTCTGTTTCCTAATTGCTTGTTTCCAAAGACACTTACTATTTTTACCCTATAATTCAATGCTACTGTGTCCCCCACCCCTCATGGGGATTTACCCAGGAGTGTTCTATCACTGAGATACATCCCCAGCCTTTTTATTCTCTTTCTTTATTTTTGAGACAGGGTCTCACTGAGTTGCTGAGGCTGCCCTCAAACTTGTGATCCTCTGGCCTCAGCTTCCCAAGTCACTGGAATTACAGGCGCGCATCACGGCACCCAGCTCTGCTATACATTCTTGAGATAAATGATCAAGTGTGCTGTCACACACACAGCATGGAATGAGTGCCGTACCGTGTCACCATCATTCTTCAAGTTTTCTCAACAGTGGACAAAGGAGTTCTAGTTCAAACATCAACAATTCCCTCCAAAAATATCAAAAGAAACCTGAAACGTGAGCCCTCCTTGCTCATTAGGTGACAAGTGTGAAGTCTATACATTTTGTGAGAATGTCACAGCAGTGGCTCATAGAAACCCCTCTCGCCAGTTACAAAAAATTCTGCAGCATGTTGGATTACATGTGAAAACAAAGTTCAGCGGACTGACCCACAGGAATGTGTTTGTGCTCATGCGGACTCTCTGTGGGCACCAAGGCAGATGTCCTTGTGCTCCTGCCTGGTGACCAGCTTTGGAGCCTTGCTCTGGAGGTAGAAATGACATGGTAAGAACTCCATGAGAGAACTCAAGTTAGCATGGGACTCTAGACCAGGAGTGCCTCTGCCCCAAGCCCAGAACCTAACCAGCTGTCCTTCCAAGCGTCAAATTCATTCATGTCTAAGACTCAGGATGCGAGGGCCAAGAGAGGGGTGCTTAATGATTAACTCATGGGGTGCCGCCCATGCAGACAGCCTCTGGGGACTGGTTTGGTTACTGGAGTGCTCTCGAAGACATCGCGCTAATGCAGTCAACATTTACCCTGAACATGAGAGACGGGAGACTCAGAGGGCGCAGTTACTCATTTCAGCCCAACCCCTCCCCAGTAGACCTTCCCCTGTGCCCTGCACCACAGGTCTCATGCCCTGGAAAATCTGGTTAGCAACAACCCACTCCTTAAAAACCATGTGCCACCAAAATCAACACACACTCTGGCATTAAATAAAATTTGAGGAAAACGTGTAGCTATAAAAAAGGCAAATACATTTATTTAAAACCTGCTGTGCCCCACAAAGGATTAATGTTACTGAATGGCTAGCCATCACGATCTGCTTGGAATCATTCTTATCACTATTTGCACACTTTACATTGGATCTTTAGCAGTTCTTGATATACTCCACTTCCTCCCCCCAACTGGAGATCTTCATCAGTAAATCTCCATTGGCTTGGTCATTTGTTCAAATGTATCCTCCAGCACCATTTCCTCCTCTTTTGAATCACCCTAAAGAGTGCGGTTTGCCATACTGCAGCTGATCAGGATCAAGTTCATTTTTGACGCCGGCATACACTAATTTCTTTATCCCTCCCCACTCAGGGCTCAGCCCATACATCTCACCCTTGGTTGGACAATTCCACTGTCTTCATCAAAGTGGGTTCTGCAGATGATCTCTCCCCAAGATCTTATTGCTTCCAAATATGCAACTTCTTTGACTTCAAGTACCCAAAGCACTTGTATACTCTAAATTTTATGGATCTTTAATCCATGTTATTTTTTTTCCCCTCTTCCATCTTTTATACCCATCTGTACTATCTGACTTAGATTCTAAGATTTCAGAAGACCGGGCTCCATGGCTGCTGACCTATTTGGTACTGGAAACAGCAGAAAGTCAGTAGCAGAAAGATGATTAATAGATGCCCTTTGAAAGTTGGTGGGAGCGGGGAGGGGGGGTGAGTTTAAAACAAAACAAGAGTGAGGAACACGAGTCACACTGGGTTTCCAGTTTTGTCTCTGGATACATACACGTGAACACACCCACTGGCAGATCATGGCAGGTCACATCATCCATCCCAGGGCATTCACACAGGTAACAGTTTACATTTTCACAGTGCTTTATGCTTCCTCCTCAAGGGATGCCTGCACACAGGAACACATCATTTTCTTACAATTTGAGATCCTGGGAGGAGGGCAGGGGAGGCGTGTTCTTGTGGATTAAGAGGAAAATGAAATTCAGAGAAGGAACCTGACACAGGGAGTTAGTTATAAAGTAGACTGCAAAAAAAATCACTTCTCTAACAATCTCCTCTAAAATGCTGACTCCAATTTATAGTTTGTTACAACTAGAATTTCTAAAACAGGAAAAAATTACAGACATAAAATTTAAATTTTAGGGTACTCCAATAAATGGAACTCCAAAGTTATGCATGATCAACAGAAGGACTTTTTTTTTTTTTTTTTTAAGTAGAAAAACACTAACCCAGTGTCTGAAGACCCACTGGGCGTGGTGCACCCCACAAGAGCCAGTACAGTGAACTTGGTGCCTGGTAAACTACTGCAGCAGGTGTTTAGAGGAAACAAGTGCAGACCAAGGGCGCTTCCCAACAATGACCCAGTGCTGGCAGCCCGCAGGACCCATCCATGCCACGCCACACACCACCAGCTCTTCGTTACATATCATCTTTGGTCTTGACTTCTGTTCAAAGGTGTATTGGTTCTAAGAATACAGGCAGAATCCCCTTGTGGTAGTTGAAAGGCATCCATTCTGCTCTTGCAGTCACACCCTTGAAACAGAGACCCGTTTTTGCAACGCACAGAGGAGGTAACCATTTTTAGGACACATTATATGTAAAACACTTATGACACCAAGCAGAACCGTGAGAGAAAAGGTCATTTATTCCACCTGCTGTCACAAGATTTGAACTTACTATAAAGTGTCTACCATAAAACTCTGCTTGGGTATCTAAGTCTGGATATTCTGAGTGGCATGAAAAGAGGATCCATTTTAGGGACAGTCTGGTATTAAGCCAGGACCAAGAGGTTAAGAAATCAAGCCCAGAAAGGGGCCTTCTCTTCTACACTATTGGGAGCCTTTGGGGACTGTCTGACAAGAGGCTGCCAGTCCTTTATTGGGTCGACTTACTGTTATGGTTTGGATATGAGGTGTTCCCTGAAAAGCTCATGTGTTAGGCAATGCAGGAATGTTCTGAGGTGGAATGATTAGATAGATCATGAGCTGTAACCTCATCAGTGGGTTAATCCATTTGATGGATTAATACTTTGAGTTTGGCAATACTGCAGATTGAACACAGGGGGATTCTACCACTGAGCTACATCCCCAGCCCTTTTTATTTTGAGACAAGTTCTCATTAAGTTGCCCAGACTGGCCTTGAACTAAGGATCCTCCTGCCTCAGCTTTCCAAGTAGCTGGGATTACAGGTGTGCACCTCCAAGCTCAGCATGAATTAATAACTGACGGGACTACTAGTTGGTAACTGTAGGCAAGTGGGGTGTGGCTGGAGGAAATAGGCGCTGGGAACATGCCCTTGAGGATTATATTCTGTCCCTGGCTCCTTGCTCTCTGCTTCCTGCCTGCCATGAGCTGAGAAGCCTCCCTTCACCACACCCATCCATCATGATGTTCTGCATCATCTTGGGCCCAGAGCAATGAAGTCAGATGGCCGTGGACTGAAACTGATGACCCCAAATAAACTTTTCCTCTAAATTGTTCTCGTCAGATGTTTTAGTCACAGGAACAAAAACCTGACTCACGTACCTACCTTCCTGCACCCTAGTCTTTCAGTGGCAGGCAGGTGAACAATGGCTACACTTGAACTCCGCAGAACTGGCTTTCCCTGTGTCCCCAAACTCTAACTCCGTACCACAAGCTTAACCAAGGATGGAGTACAGCATGATTATGGAACCAATGACTGTACTCTGGAAGCTTGTTCTAGCTGTTTCCAGGTTCTTAAAACTTGGTGCAGGTACACAGGTTTTGATTAAAGCACAGCCCCAAATTCTACCTTGTTATCTTTTGTTTAATCAAAAGTATTAATTCATCTGATAAAAAGAGGCTCAGAGTGGGAATCTCGTCTGTAAGCCTGCATTTCCTCTGAGTTTCACTCAGGCACCAGAAAACAGAACAAATCACTCCCTTTCTGACTCTAATGTGGGACGTGGGGAAACTTCAGGAGCATGTTCTAAGAGAGATGACCCCCTCTCTCTGGCCCACAGTGCATGAGACAGTTTTAATAGTCACTCAACAAAGTAATAACACAATAAAATCAGAAATGAGGGGAAACTCTCTCCTTTCCCTTGTGGTCTCAAAACTCTTCTTGACTCTTCAGGGTCTGAATCGGACTCTGTTCCACTTCCAGGTCTTGAACACAGGGAACGGATTACTAGGGATGGATTCACAATAATTTGGTGGTCCTAGGAATTGTTTTCAATAATGTCTGCTTACAGAAGACTTCTCATTCAAACATAATTTGTGAGCAGATCATGAGCAACGTGCAAGGTTCTACCAGTTAGGACTTCCTGAAAGCCTCATTCTGTAGGACTGGCCTCCATGGCATGTGCTGAAATGGGATGCCATCAGGAGTTGCACCTGCCCAATTACTAAACAGCAAATACAATTAAGAAGGTAAATCTAAATTTTGATATGTATTTTGAATAACCAAATAAATATTAAGCTTTCTCCCACCACTTGGGAGTTGCTTTTCTTTTCTTTTTTTTTTTTCCCTCTAGAACAGAATGAAACCTTCGACCCATTCTTCCATTGCAAAGCCAACGTTGCATTTCACAGACACAAAGGCGAAGGGGCCCTTGGGGCTGTAGCACCAGAAAAAAGGAGGAAGAACGCAGGCGATGGCTTCGTTTAGAGTCTTCAGGCTCTTAAACTATCATTTGGTTTCTCACTAGTAGCTTTTTTTTAAAAAAAATCTCCCAACAGTCTTAGTACTCTTTGTTGTTAATATTCCTATTAAAATAAGTTCCTATGGAGAAAAAGAGGGAAATCAAGCTGTTAATAAAATGTCTTCAAATCTCTTCTTAGAAAACAAAGCAGCAGGTACATCGTACATGTCAGTCTGAATCCCTTGGAATCGCTGGGTTCCTTCCAACCCGACACCATCTACACATTTTCATCTTTTGCCTTTAAAAAGGAGACTTAAACAAAATTGTTAGCTTAGGTTTCTGTTTTGTTTTTGTGAAGTGCTGCTGGCTTTTGGCCAAAAGTACATACATTTCAACTGAACCCAAGTGGCCACCAAATTGCCAATCTAGGAAAAGTATCATGGGTGTTGTGTGACTTATGGCATCTTCTAAAATTGCCACTTGCTCCCTCACTCAGGCAGCTCGCCCAGGAGATGCTCATTCCGCTTACAAACACCCGCTCAGTTGATTTCCTTTTGGTCTTGCTTCCACGGGAAGCGGATACTTGGCCAACCTGTGGGCGAGGCCCATCAGCTGTGGAAGTTCTGCACGGCGCTCTGTTTCTGGGAGAGCCGGAGGAGCTCCTCGCGGATCGCTTTGATGAGGGAGGCTGAGGAGTGGCTGGGCTGGAGGTCTTCCGTGGAGCTGGTGGGGTAACCCAGCCCAGGGCCTTGCAGTCCCCGGTGAGGAAGGTTCCCGGGAGGAGCTGAGGGCTCCCTGCCTGAAGTCCTTGGCACCTGAAACAGCGGTGAAGAAGAATAATCTTGATGTCCAAGAACGTGAGGCTGAAAAACATGGCAAACGTTACTGCACTTCCCACGCGGCAACCAAAGGGAACATCAAGTTCAAGTTGGCATTGGGAAAGCTCATGGGCTCCCTCGCCCACCTCCCAGGGTCACTCGGCCCTCCAGCAGGGCCCTTGTGGCCTGATCGCCTGTGCACAGGGTGTGGAGTGAGTGGGTGAAGCAGGTGTTGGTGTGGAACTCGCCACCATAGGACAACAGGCAGGGACCTGGGGAGCTGGAAAGGGAGAGCAGGCAAGCACCCCATGAAGGTGAGAGGTCAGAGGGCAACACTCGAGAGCAGAGGGAGGTAAGACTGGGGCAAAGGGGATGGAAAGAACCACTGCCTTAGCCTGGTCCGGAGTCCAAAGAGTATGTACCTGAGAACTCAGGCGGGACCACGGAGCCTGGGCCAGATCACAAGATCATCTTGTGTCTTATCAATCTGTGGTCTTGTTGTAGTGCTGAGGTTCAAACCCAAGGCATGGGGCATGCTAGGCAAGCCGCTGAGCTGTGTCGCCTGCCTATCTATCAGCAATCATCTACCAATCTCTCCATCCATCATCTATCTTCAGGTACTGGGTATTGAACCCAGGAGTGCCACTGAGCTATTTCCTAAGCCCTTCTCATTTTTTATTTTGAGATAGGGTTTAGGTCACCAAGACCAGCCTGCAATTTGTGATCCTACTGCCTCAGTCTCCTGAGTGGCTAGTATTACAGGTGTGTGGCCCCAAGGCCCAGTGTCTTTCCATGTCTTTTCAAGTGCAATTTAAAGTTAAGTTATACACACAAAAGTAGACAATTGTCCTGCTGATGTCTGCAGAACATGGATTAATTTGGCATTCATTTGACAAGAACAATTATGCTTTTCAGTGATTTTTTTTTTCATTTTTAAAATATCCTTCATAATTTTTTCAAGTGGAAGAAAAAACTTCACATCCATGCACTAAATTAGTGTATAGGTCAGTGTGGTATATCTGTGTACTAAAAACCTTAATGCTAAAAGCGAGAGAAATGTGGCCTCCTAGTCCTGAATTATTTCTTTCTACATTTCACTCCTCCATAGAGCAATAAAGAAATCCTTCAAAGTGAACATTATTGGATTTGACTGGAAAACCTGAATCTCAGTAGAATACAATGAAGGCAGAAGAAAAAAAAAAAATGTGTCGATAACTTTAAGCAAAGACCTGCAATTGTAAGTCTGACAAATGTCGTTTGGGGAAAAACATACTCTAATGTGAATTTACTTTCACTACATAAAGCATCTAACCATGACTGGGATCTAGCATAGCTGTTAGGAAGGTTAAGAAATTCAATAAAAGCCAGAGCATAAAGATAAGGATAAAACCTAAAGTGATAGTTTGGCTTGTATTTTCAAACTTCATTAATTTATCCCTCGAGGATATAAAATTCTTGAGAAAAACAGAGAAGGGCACTTGTAGAAATTAGCTGTTCCCACACTGAGGGAGGTCTATGCCTTGAGACCCTGCTACCTCTGAGATCACTCCAAGACCATCTAGCACAGGGGGCATGGTGGAAATAACATCAGCAAGCCCCACAAAGCATATGGTGAGATCAGGGATGTTCATATAGTGATCATACCAAGACCATGTCCAGATTTTAGCTACCTTCAGGTTCAGACTTGCTACTTAAAGCCATGGAAATTTGCCTCAAGAAAGTACGTATGCTTTCCAAAAGTGAGAGAGAGTTTGCTACAAGCTACAGGCAAACACACAGCAAGGTGAAAACAGGGAGGGAGATTAAAAATGGATTCCCCAAGAAGCAGCAGCTAAATTTAAAGATTGCGTGAGAATTTTAACTGATGGCCCAAGTCCCGGATACTCACGGCCTCCCTTCGCCCTGCTTCCTCCTCCCCATATGCAGACCAGCCCGGTCCTCCATACTGGCCACCTCTGCTGGGCGGGATTTCCACGGGCTGGGCCCCGATTCTGCTAGCAATGCCCACCTGCGTCAGGTGCTGGATCTGGGAGCCTGGGAGGAACATGGTGCAGTCGCTGGTTATGGAGTAAGATACCGTCCGCTCTGACCACTGGCCCCTTTAAGGACAGGGACGATGAGCAATGTTCAAACAGTGCCAGCGCCATCTCCAGAAATGGCCTGTCCCACGAGAACAGCCCAGGAACTGCTCTAATTCCCTTTCAATACAGGGGCTAATGGTGACACATCAAAGGTCTGAGGATGAAGGATCACAGAGGGCACTTCTGCTCTTGTCTGTAGGGTGACACCCAGGGTGGCCCTGCTGATTTTTTAATTATGCTAACTCAAAGGTTCTAGAGCCATAAAGAAGTTGACACCTGGTTCTTGTTGCTTATAGCTTTGAGATTCACAAAGAGCAGAATATCCAATATGCCTTTTTTTCCCCCTGTTATTGGGGATTGAACCCAGAGGTACTTAACCACTAAGTCATATCCCAGCCCTTTTAATTTTGAGACAGGGTTTCACTACATTGTTTAGGGCCTATGCTTTTTTTTTTTTTTTTTTTTTGGTACCAGGGATTGAACCCAGGGGACTAAACCACTGAGCCACTTCCCCAGCCCTTTTTATTCTTTGAGACAGGGCCTCTCTAAGTTTCTGAGGCTGGCTTTGAACTTGCGCTCCTCCTGCCTCAGCATCCCAAGCCTCTGGGATTACAGGCGTGTGCCACTGAGCCCAGCTGCTTTTTTCTTAAAAGGCGGAAATGTGTTTGAATTCAGAATGTTGAGGCCCTTTTACTCACAGTGTTCCCATAACTCAGCCATAGCACAAGCAACACCTCACACCTCACCTAGCCAGTGAGGGACACTGAGGTAGACCAGCTGACTCTGTGGCACTAACTCCCAGACACAGGAAACCTGTAGCCTTGTGTGGCTCGGATGGTCAGGTGTTAAATAACCTATTTCCTCGGACACCAACTTTTGGTATTTGGAAATATCCCTACACTGCAAATTAAAGGAGGAAAAAAGCCATCTTTATTTATTTTATCTTATTTAACTTCACTTTTTATAGCATTTAGAATGGAACCCAGGGCCTCGTGAATGCTAGGCACGTGCTCTACCACTGAACTACACTCCTGGTCCTAGAATATGATCTTTATGTGCTGTGAAATGAAATACTTATTTCCAAATGCTCCCAGGATCATCAAGTTCATCCGTGATGCTCAGGTTCTAAGAGTTCAAGAGGGGAAAGTCCCTCCATCTGTAAGCCCACTCCTACCCACGTTATCTAGTTATCAGACCTTAACTCATCAGCTGCTTTTAAGAAAAGAGCTCCCACTGGTTTTATCTGGATACATATATTGGTAATTGAAAGTCAGGGAAAATTGTCCAGGCCTCTGGCGGAGCAATGAACTCCACTGGAGCACCCATCCTTTACTGAGAACTCACAGCGTATTGACAGTATCTGGACTATCGGCACTGTCTACTTAGCAGGCACTGCCTGAGCAAATCTCTTGAGGAGCTGTGAATCTAGCCGGGTGTTCACAGTGGTTTCCAAAGGTCCAAACAAGTGCGCAGGGGGAAAGCACACAGTGGCTGCCATCTTAATCCAGACATGATTCTGCTCCCTGCTTTGATCACTCAATAATACAGCACAGGCTCTCCCCTGACTCTGCGTGGAGCTCAGAGTCTGGGCTGATTCCAGCTCAGCCTCTGACAAGCCCGCTCCTGTGGGCCTGGCTTTCCAACATCTCCAATGCTGTGAAAAACCCAATCAGATTTATTTCAAGGATTGGAAGATATGAAAAGAACAAATGTGGGCAAGGCAACAACTGGTGATTCCTAAATTCCTCTTTTCTTTCTTTTCTTTTTTCTTTTTTTGGAAACAGGCTGGTCTCAAGAGATCCTCTGGCTTCAGTCTCCTGAGTACTAGGACTATGGGACCTGCCACCTTGGCTAGCACTTCTTTTCTGGCTTTTTATATTTTCATCTTAAATAGCTGTGCAGTTTACTTAGTGATGCACTTACTGGGAATCCTAAAAGTGAATACTTTTTTTGCTATTCTGAATAATGCTGTGATAAACATTTTGACACACATAATTTCCACCCAATGTTTTGAATTTAGGGGATTTCCTTTCACTTTCTAGAAGTGAAAACACCAAATCAAAGATTCATGAGTCCTATTATCAAACTGCTTTCCAAATGTTTTAATGATTTACACCACCACTGAAATAACATAATAGTAATAATAATAAAAGGCAGCTAGTATTTATTGAAAATGTATGATATGCTAAGCACGATTTGGGGCACTTTACATCTTTTATTTTATTTAATCAGCAAAATTCTATCATAAAACCATCTTTAGAAAATGATTCATGATTGTAGTTATGCCTCACTGTGGTTTTAATTTGTATTTCTTAAGCTATTTTCAAAACTGGAACCTTTTCCAAGTTTTTCTTTTATAGGGTACACATATACACACACATGCATCTTTTTCTATTTTTCTGTATGTGTGTGTGTGTGTGTGTGTGTGTTACTGGAATTGAATCCAAGACCTCATGCATGCTAGGCAAATGCTCTACCACTGAGCTATGACTTCAACCCTTTTTATTTGAGGCAGGGTCTTGCCAAGTTGCCCAGGCTGCCCTTGAACTTGCAATCTTCCTGCCTCAACCCAAGGAGCTGGGATTATAGGTATACACCACTACATGTGGTCTATACACATCTTTAATTTTTTTTTTTTGTATACTTGTAGATGGACAATATGCCTTTATTTTATTTATTTATGTGGTACTGAGGATTGAACCCAGTGCCTCACACATGCTAGGCAAGGGCTCTGCCACTGAGCTACAGCCCAGCCCCCACACAGCTTTCTCTTATGAATTCTTTCTTTCAATATTTTGCCTATTCATCTTTTGAGGCTTGCCCATTTGTCAATTTACAGGAGCTATCCTCTATAATAAAAATGACTTTTGGTTATAATATACCACAAACTTTCCCTAGGTAGTATTTCATTTTTGGTTATGTTCAGAAATATATATGTTTGATAATTTTTATAGCCAGAAAGATAATTATACTAGATCCCAACATTTTCCATTGTAAATTTTAATACAATTTCTTCTCTTACTAGAAATTGCTAGAATAAAACTCCCTCTTCAAATGAGTGACACATAGAATTTCTATATCCATCTAGATTTTTAATAAACAATAAATCTGAATTTTGTTTAGTATTTATACTGTGCAGCAAGGCTCACATACGCAACATTTCACAAGAGAAATAAGACTCATCACAAAGCCTAGCATAAAGGATGAGAAGTCCCATATCATAGCAGGATACTTTTTTTTTCTTTTCTTTTTTTTGTGGTGCTGGAAATTGAACCTAAGCATGCTCTACCACTGAACTATATACCCTTTTATTTCTTATTTTGAGATAAGGTTACCAAAGCCAGCCTCCAGCTTATGATCTTCCTGCCTCAATCTCCTGAGTCACTGAGATGAGAGGCATAGACCACTGTGCCCAGCCATTATTTGTTTTGAGGACTAGCAGATAATGCAAGATATAAAAACATCCTGGAAGACTAAAATGGAAAAACATATCGCAATTATTACGAATTTGGAATTGGCCTAAACTACTTTTTTTTTTTTAATCTTTATTTTGTTTATTGATTTTTATGTGGTGCTGAGGATTGAACCCAGTGCCTCACACGTGCTAGGCAAGCACTCTGCTACTGAGCCACAACCCAGCCCCCTAAACTACTTCCTTTATAACATAGAATGATATATGTTCAGAAAATAAGAAATAAATTATTTAACACATCATGGTTCCCTCTCATTGAAGCCTCAGTCTTCCAAAAGGAGGTTGAAGAAATGAATGGAAAAAATAAAAGCGTGACTTTGAGGTTTTGTAATAGAACACAGTAAGATGATATTGAACTTAAAAAATTCTCGAAGAATAGAGAGCTGTTACGTACCCCATTTGAATCAAATGTATGATACGTCAAGATCATTGTAATGTTTTGAGCAACTAATAAAAAATTTTTTAAAAAGTAATAGGGAGAGCTCAGATCTTATACTACAGATGTTCTAGAACACAGAACAGCATTCATAAATAGAGCTTATACAGTATCAACCACTCAGAAGTTCAAGTTCTATTAAATGGAATGGTCATTTGTCATTTGGGGACAAGTCTGGACCACAGGTAAACTGATGGGGCAACCCTTCCAACTGCCATGAAGAAATTCCACTCAGCCATGTTGGACACAGACCACCACCAGCATGTGCCTCCTAGGGGTCTGAAGTGTTTTCTCAGGTGTTCCACTTATACTTCTATTGGACCAGTTAGGGACATTGATCATAAAGTAGAGCTGTCATTGAAAATTGGGGGATTTACAAAGAGTTCAGAACAAATTCTTCCCAAATATCAAGCATCTGCTGAACCTGAGGATGGGATCTGGGTTTGAAAATTAACATAAAACTCCAAGGAGGCTCTGAGACAAATGTTTTGTTTTTTTTTTTGTATTTTCTTCTTAACTTACTTTCTGAAAATAAATTTGTTCCTTATCTAACTGTGATTATTGAGATCTCTCAATTCAGAAATCATTTTTCATTCCTTTCTTTCTTTACTAAAATTCAGAAAGCTCCTCCTTTCTGAAAACATTTACATATGTCTCAAAACAGATAAAACCCAAGAGCAGTTGGCCTATTAAAATACAGATGCTTATAATTCTTTCTAAAAAAGCAAAAATGAATACATAAAAGGAAATTTAATCACATTTCAATTGTGGTCTTTAAAAAAAATCTGTACTAAGTAAACCATATTGTGCAAAATGCTTCTCAAATCAATTAAATAAATATATTTTAGAAGGTTTTACAATTTATTTTCTCTCTGGCTTCAAAATCTCCAGAAATTGAAGACTTTAGCATATATTTACTTTAGCATATATTAAACTTCTGTTTAAGAACAGAAGTTGGAAACTTAACTTCCTATGTGGAGATATCCTGGCATAGATTTTTATTTTAATTTCATTGGGTAGTTAAAACAGATGCTGTTTTCAGGGATTTAAATTGTAATAATGGTAGAATAAGAAAACATGACTTCCACCACTGAATGATGGTAGAAGTGGTGCTGGTTACCCAGGAACGGCATTAGGAGAACTCTCTAAATGAGGACTTAAAGAGGGGCAGACAGGCGTCCACACAGTGCCAGGGTGGCTCCGACTTCCACAGGTGCTCTATCATTGACTCTGCTCTTGTCTGAGTCAGTTGAGGGAGGGCTTAGTCAAAGGGTCACAAAAGTGACAATAAGAAAAGGGAAGGAGATAACAGGGTTTGCATTCTAATCTGAAATCCAAAATGCTCCAAAGTCCAAAACTTTGACATGACATTCAAGCAGTTTCCGATTTGGGAGCATTTTGGATTGGGGATTTTCTGACCAAGGATACTCAACTAGTAAAGTCTATTAAATTATTAAAACACACACAAGAGCACACACACAGAAACACTTCTGGTCCGAAGTATTTTGGATAAGGGATACTCAACCTGTACTTAAAAAGGCAGAAGGGAAAAGCCGAGGGCAGGGAGACTTGAGGAGAAAACAAAGGTTGCATGCTCTCCAAAAGTGACCCAATAAAACGAAATCTCCCTTTAGCCACTGTCCAGCAACTCTGAGGGTTGTTCACTACAAGGCACAAATGCTCCTTCTTTTAAACTCAGTTTGATGCCGTCCTAGGGCTGCCACAGACCTCCCGTTCACTGGAGAATTTAGCCATGCCTTCCTGGAGGGTGTGTGCCGCAGTTTCACTGTGACTTGGCTGATTCAGGAATCGGCAGACAGCAGCCTTGGGGGGCTCTGCCACAGCCCTTCCCCTCCCCTGTCCTCATCTCTACCAGAACCTGAGAGAAAGGAGCTCTGGCCAGAGAAGAGATTGCTCAACACCAAGACGCTGACCCTCTGGGAAGCCTAGCTATGGCCTTTAAATTTATTTCTAAAGTAATTCCCCCAGAAATGTAAGCTCAATCGCCACATTACCTGTGGTGCTCCCAACAGGCCGGGGCCGGGCCACTGATGGCATCTCTTCTGAATAGATCCCTCGGGCAGCAAATGGAGCTTCTGCTGACGACTGTGGCTGCTGGGGCTCAGGGGGTGCCAGCTCTGAAGATGGCAGCAACCCAGGGCCAAAACCCGGTCTGAAGGCAAAGCATAGGCATCAGGACTATGTTTCCCCTGCGCTGGCCTCTACCTAGTCGGTCCCACCCTGCAGAAAATGCAGACTTCTCTGTCTACTTGCTTATCCTCCTCCAGCTCCTGGAAGGTGGGAGACGGAAACCGCTCCCTAAGGTGGATTTTATTATTCCATGGCCCTATCTCAGTACTATCTCAGCTGATGTTCACCAGTTTATGCTGAGTGATTGGATATATATAGTTCTTCTATTTAAAGAAAAAGAAGGGAAGCTTTAGTTTCCAGATCAAAGAAAGGCACAGATTTCCAATAAAGCTGTGGTCCTCAGCCATGGCTGCCCATCAGCATCACTGGGGGAGACGAAATCCTGGTGCCCACGCTGCACCCCAGACATGGTGTAACCAAGACAAGGGCTTTGAAAACACTCCACAGGTGTGTCTATCGAGGGCAAAAACCCATGTTCTAAGGCAATTTGGTCTATTTTGTTCTCCAGATGTCTTTAAACTCATAAAAAGTATTGAGGAACTCCCAAGAGTTTCTGTTTATATGATTACATCTACCCACACTGATGGTATTATTAGAAATTAAAACTAAGAAAATGTTTCAATATTTTAAAAACTCATTTACAAAAACTACAAACCTATCACATGCTAGCATAACAATGTTATGAATTTAGTTACATTCTCCAATCCCTCCCCCTCAGATTAGTGAAAAGAGTAGCACTCTTATTTTATTCAGACTCTCTTAACATGGGACATCTGGATTCTCAAATATTTTACAATCGGTTGACACATGTTATTTTAGAAAGAAAATCTGCCCTTGCAAAACATTTCTTAGAAGAGTATTTTAATAGCCTTTTTTAGAAAGTACTTAAATAATACTTCAGATATTCTTCTTGAGACCACACCAAAACTTAAGTGGTAATTCCTTAAGGATTAGTTGCAATGCAGGATCTGAAACAATATCAGATGGCTCTATCTTGACTTTGAGTGGATCTTCAACCCATGCATCTACCATTGGGAGAATACTAGTTCACTGAATCACAAAGACATGATGGACACTCACATGCCTAATTCTACAGTATCAAAAATTCCCCTGCTTCACTGGAACCACCACGCTCATCCAGAAGAGTGCTAGGATGCTCTCAAGTTCAACATGGCAGACAAAAGGTTCTAGTCTAATTTTCACTTGAAAGCTCAATTTTACCATTGACAAAAAGACTGTCAGTTGTTTTTCTTGAAGTAAGAAGTTCATTTCATTCATGTTCAACACAGTGATAAACTCCCAAGTCTGAACATGATGTTCATCAGTTGTTTAAATAGAAAGCGAGGAGGCAGTTGGTTCCATTCAGTCACAAACAGCAGAGCAGGTGCTCTCCTCCAAGATCCCATATTCAGCACAAGGGCCTTATTTGTCCAGTCAGTACCTCCACTTTTGTCACACAGACTATGAAAGACTCAAGGGCCTAGTTTGAATAAAATTAATTTTTACTACTTCATCAAGAACATACTAACATAAAACTGGCTTTAAAAAAAAAAAAAAAACTGCATTTTATCTGCAGCTACCGAAATGAGATTTTTCCCCTTAGTTCCATTTAAAGCAATGTGTTACATTGCTTGATTTTTTTTAAAATGCTAAATCACCTTCACATTGCTGGAATAACTCCAATTTGGCTGTAAATGATATTCTTCTGTACGTGTTGTTGGATGTGTTTGCAAGTATTTGGTTTCATATTCTTTCATGTCTATATTCAAGAGTGAAACTGGCCCTTAACGTTTTCAGTCTTCCAATGACCTTGTTCTTATGTCCTTGTCCTTGAGGTCCAATGACCCTGGTCTCATTAAGTGATTTGAGGGTAGTCTTTCTTTTTCTACTTTTTATTAGCTTGTACAACATTGGCCTTTCCCTCCATCATGTTTGGCAGAGTTCACTGTTGCAGCCATCTGGACCTGGAGTTTCCTTTATGGGAAGAATTTTAATTATGATTTCCATTTTTAATAATTATATGATGATTCAGATTTCCTCTTTCTAGAAATTTTTCCATTTCAAATTTATTAACAAAAATGTGTTTGTAAAATCTTTTAAGATTATGTTAATTTGTCTTTTTCATTCCTATTGATGATTTGTTACACAGATTACTTTATCAAGTTTGCCAGGAGATTTGTTTTCTATTTTACAGTCTATATTATTTCCTTCCTTCAATTGGATATTCTTTTTTAACTTCTTGAGATGGGTAGTTAGATTGTTGATTTCCAGCTATTTTTTCCTTCCAAATACATGTGTTAAGGATAACAATTCCCTCCCCCAAACATTACCATAGCTGATCCTACAACTTTTGATATATCGTACTTTACTATTCATTTTAGAATATTTTAAATTTTCTATTGTGATTTATAAGTGTATTATATGTTATTTAGCAGAGTACTGAATAATTTTTAAATGTACATGGGTTTTCTAATTATCTTTTATTATCATTTCTTAATTTTACTAGGATGAACAAATATATTTTTATTTAATTTTTTTGAAATTTAAGATTGGTTATGGCCCAAGATATAGTAAATTTTTCATTATTTTTGTGTGTATGTTGTACTGAGGATTGAATGCAGGACCATACATGTTAGGCAAGTGCTATGCCACTGAGCTATATGTCTCCCAGCTCTTAAAAAAAATGTGTTTTAAAGAGGTATGCTGGGCATGGAGGCACATGCCTATAATCCTGGCTACTCAGAAATCTAAGGCAGGAGGATCACAAGTTTGAGGCCAGCCTCAGCAATTAAACAAAGCCTTGTTTCAAAACAAAATACAAAAGTCCAGGGATATAGCTCAGAGGTAGAATGTGGGAGGCCAAGAATGTGGGAGGCCCTGGGTTCAATCCCCAGTACTACCCACCCCTAAAAAAATGGTGTGTTGTGCAGTATTGAACATTCCATGTTTTATGTATATCAATTAGCTCAAACTGATTAATCATGTTCAAATCTTCTATATCCTTTCCATATCTTTATATTTTTGACATGTCTTTCATAAGTCAAATACCCCTTTTTAAAATCCAATATAATGATATTGGTCTTTTAATTAGAATATATAGCCATTGTCATTTAGTGAAACCACACACACACACACACACACACCCTTGAATTTAGATCTCCACCATCTTACTTTGGCTTGCTGTAAGTTCTGCCAATTTCGTGTTCTTTTTTCTCCTATTTCCTATCTTCTTTTGGATTATTTTAAAATTGTTTTCTTTCTTCTTATTATATTTAAGCATTTTTTGCACTGTTTTAGTTAACCTAAAAATTACACCAGAATCCTTGACTTACAATAGTCTAACACAAAGTAGTACTTTTATATATCTTCCCAGACAATAAAACTGAACTCCATATTAAGCATATTAAGTATAATTGTAAAATCTATGTTTGACAGCTCCAATATCTGGATCCCCTGTGGTTCTACTTTTGTCTGTTGCTCCTGATTTTATTTTCAACTGTGTTTTCTTTTCTTCTCATATGCCTGGTTGTGTGCGTGTCCATGGTGACATGTACTGTAGAAACAGTATAAGGCCTGGAGTGTATTAACCATTCTGAGGCGGGGGACTCACATGTGTTCTGCCAGAGAGAAATCCCTCATTAAAATTCAAAGCTGAACGTCAATCTCTGAAGGGACCAATCTGCCTATGACCCACCCTTTCTCCCAGGGCCTAAGGATTAGAACTCAAAACCTTGGGTGTTTATCAAGGTCTCTCCTCCTCCCCCCAAGCCCTGTATGCAGTCTCTTAGAGCTTCATCCACTTTCTCAGCATCTCAGCTGCCTCTTCTGGAGTCAGCAGATGCCACTGGGAGAAAAGTGACCCCAAAGAAGGGCTCACTTCTCTGGGTTCCCAGATCTTGGTCCCACACTGCTGCACAGCTCTGTTAGCCCTTGGAGTTTAAAAAACAATTAATATCTTATCTAGCTTTTCTAGGTGTTCCCAGCAGAAGGACCGGTTCAAACTCTCTAGCCTGTCATTACTGGAAGCAGAACTTAAGTCCTAACTTTCCCCCCTCCTCTTCTGGTTAGATCAAGGGAAGATATAAATCACTTTTACATCTCTGTTCATATTAGTTAAAAGACATGGGTTTACAGAGTTTAAAAAGAGCAGCCTACAAAACAAAGTCATAATACATTCTGTTCTGAAACCTTACCTTGGCAATGGGCCAGAAGGGGGAGTCATCCCATAGTCTTCATATCTCTGGAAGAAATTCAAAAGGACATGAAGACTAACATTCAGTACTTATTATAAAGTGACAACAGCAAACTTATAAACTTGGGCTTGCAGGATCAACTTTCGGGAGAATTATTTTCTCATTAAAGCTTAGCATGCTCCTGGGGCATTCTGCCATCCAGCAAGGGTTTCAGTTTGGGGAACAGGGCTACCAGGCTTTAGAGAAGACACAACTCATTTCTAGGTCTTTTCTATATCAAAAACTAAGACTGTGAACAATAGACAGGTTTTCTGTGCCTGTTCACCCCTAGTCTCCTTCTCTATGAACTTTATCTTCTGCTAGAAGGTAGCTTAACTGGTCGCAGTTAGTATGAAGCACACGCTCCCCGCCCCCAAATCCAGGGAGCGACCAGCAGCAATTCAAATATCTCCAAAACTAAACCATCAAATGCTGTACCATGTTTAGAATACTGTAAAAATAGAAAACCAGAAATTAGAAGGAAACCCAAAATTAGAGACTAGAAGATGAAGGCGGCCCCTTTGTTTCTGACCATTTCCTGGGCCACTGTGAACAACTGCTTGCCTGTAATCAGGAACTACCAGGCCTGGCTCCTGGGGCTGCACTGATTCTAGATCTTTCTTTTTTAGGCTATAATTTTAGTTTTTCTCAAAAGTCCAGGCTTTTCCCCGACTACGCTGTGCTGCCCAGATTTTCTCAACGGATCTTTCCCCATTGGACAAATCTCTCCTCTTAAGAGGGAAAATAGAGGCCTTGGTGTTCAGAAGGTCATACGACATAAGGATGTCTGTGATGGTTCTGGAGGGATTTGTAGATGGGAAACCGTGGTGGAACTGCGTCCCCTTCTGATCTTCTCTGACTCAATCCCCTTGGCAGCGGGAGGGAGATTAGAACCTTGTAGGTTCCCAGCTGAGGAAGATAAACTAGAGGGGGTAACAGAGAAAACGGAAAGATGGCAGAAGAGCAGTTTTGATTTCTTTTTCTGAATGACTGAAGAAAAAGCTGAGACTGGATGAAGATTAGCCATGGTGCCCACCCACCTCCAGCATGGCTCAGTTTTAAGACACATTCATATGCATGTTTTTTTGGTTTTTTTTTAAATCAAGGCTCATCACTTTACCTATCAGGATTTCAGGAGATCTGAGTGATAAACCAACAGAAAAACTATGGGGAAAAAGCTGCCCATTTTTATCCATGGTACTATTGTGGGTGAGGCATTTTAACCTACTGTCTTCAGAAAGAGGATGTTCTGTGCTGAGAGACAGGGCAAGTTAAAAAAAAAAAAAATTCCCTGACAGAATTACTGTGATTGTGTGTCAGGTATTTACTTTAAATGAGTCACACTTATATAAAAGGCTTGGAGGACAAAACTGAATTTTAAAGTTTTAATCAGCTATGTCAATACAAGTCTCATTTTCATTTCATTCTTAATCCATATAAAACACAGCCCAGTCAAATGTGAAAGGCGAGTCAAATGGCTGGAGCCTGGGACAGGCCTGAGGTGGAGCCACCAGGCAGCTTGTAAAAGGCCTTAGCTGGCACCGAGGCCTGCACAGCGGGTGGCTCCAAGAGTGGAGCTCCACTCAGGGCAGCAGGAACACCACATCCCAGCTGCCTGACTCACTGCTGCCTAACCCACACCGCCCTGCTGGTAAAAAGGAGCAGAATGTCATCCAGGGGAACACAGAGGCTCACGCGGTGACTGAAGGCACCTTGAAACCCACATTCCTGTGGTTTTCACTGTCAGAAGAAGCAAATAAAGGGTGGTTAGGTTCGTCCTGGCAACAAACTAGTAACTTTACCACCAGTTTATCAACATGCTGAAATTTATATGATTCTGGTTTTCCACTAGATTAAATCAATACCATTCCCATTGAAAAAATATCAGGGTGACGTCAAAAAGTCCACAATTAATTTTTTTTTTAAAAAGTCCACAATAAGAAATATTAGAATGCATTTGAATTCATGGTTGAGATGGTAGATTAAGGCATTATCATGGAATCTTTCATCCCTAACACCTAAGAACCAGGAACAAATAATAAAAGTAGTAACACAAATCTGTCAAAAATTACTGCTAAAAATTTGTGCAAGTGAAGGAGAAGAATCATGCTATAAATGGAGAAAAGAAGCGGCCAAGGGAAAAAATGATTCTCACAGCACAGTGTGGCTCTTGACCCCACCCAAGAGCAAGCAGAGATGCACCTCCACTCAGACAGGGGCTGACTGGGGGGCGACCTGGCAGTCTGGGGCTGGGAGCAGTAGGATCAAGGAAAAGCCTGGGGGCAAGGAGAGGTGGTCAGCAGTGACCAAGTTCAGGTCAGAAAGTGAGACAAGAGCTTTCGTCTTGGAAATCTCAAGACTAAGCAAACAGGCTCTTGGCAGATCTTCCTCCTCATCCTAGGTCCCCTCCTCATCCCACGAATGTCTCTGAGGTGTAAGTCCTGCAGCAGCTTGGCCTTCTCAACACCCCAAAACTATATTTCACTTGTCACCTGCAGGTGGAGCTGTCTGGGCACCTTCCAGACAGAGGATGGGAAAGGATCAGGATGATCCTGAGGACGGTGGTGCCCACTAGTGGACAGATTGGAGAGGAAGCACGGCAGGCTCTGTGTGCTCCCAGGGCCGTTCTCTCTCTGTCCTTGTTAGTGGGAGGGCTATCACATTTCAACTGCATCTCTCACCGCACAGCGCCTGCCAGGTGTCCCCTTGTCACAGTCCCCTGATAGAGCCTTAATTCTGGATCAACCCCACTGTCTGCCTTCTCGGCCGCACACCTGGGTGTCCGATGTTGAACCACAAAGCCATATGGAGAACTCTCACTTATGCCACTATAATTTCCTGAGGGTCAACCTCAACAGGGACCTCAGGCTGTGTCTCCAATCTGTGATCTCTCATTCTCCACAACAGGCATTTCGGATCCCGACTCTCCCCCAAAACCGCCGTGCCCGCCACACTTCTTCCCTCCTTCTCAACAGACAGCTCTACCCTCCCCACGGGGAGCACAGAAGCTTTGAGATGTGGCTCCTCAGCTTCATGCCTCCCAACCTCTCCTTCCTGCCTCCGTTGAGTTGGCAGAAATACATCCCGTCGTTTCTAAACACAGTTCCTCCCCTGGTGCCCTCGACCCCATGGCATCAATCTTCTTCCATGCTGGCTCAATGCGGCCAGCAATTAAACAGGTGGAACCTTCTGGATTCTTCTTCTCAACTCCATCCACACCAGTCTACTGGCTGGAGCCACTGACAATCCCTGCTCCACCAGCCTCCCAACGGTCCCCCTGCCTCTACTCTTGTACTGACATAACCCTGCAGCCCAACGCGGGACAAATCTCCCACAGTGGCTTACGTAGTTACGTCTCCCAACTGCTCAGAGCCCTGCAACGTGAAGGTGTCACCCTTGGGATGAGGTGGGCACTATGACTGTGGGCTTCTTGCTTTCTCTCTCCTGCCTCATGAACCACCCCTTCACTACCCCTTCTGTAAGAAATGCTAGAACCAATTCCATTGTTAAGAACATATGGTGACTGGGCTACAGGGTGCCCAGATACCTGGTTAAACACTATTTCTGTGTTTACTGGGTGGAGCTGGTTAAACACTATTTCTGTGTTTACTAAAACTGACGGCCTCAGTAGAACAAAAAGGGGGAGGAAGGTGGGGTGGTGCTCCCTCTGCCTCCTGATCCTGCTCTTGCAGATCCTGGTTTGCAGGCTTTCAGATTCAGACTCAGGCCTCAGAACACCCCTGGTTCTCCTGGTCCTCCAGCCTGCAGACAGCAGGCTTCTCAGCCTCCACAATCAAGTGAGCCAATTCCTCATAATCAGTCACTCTTTTTATTTATTTTTTTTATATTGGGGATGGAACCCAAGGTCTTAACCACTGAGCCACATCCCCAGCCCTTTTTTATATTCTATGTAGAGATTGGGTGTCACTGAGTTGCTCTGGCTTTGAACTCATGATCCTCCTGCCTTAGCCTCCTGAGCTTCCAGGATTACAGGTGTGCATCACTGTGCCCGGCTATAATCAATAAATCTTAAATCTCTCTCTCCACACACACGTCATAGGCTCTGTTTCTCTGGAGAATCCTAGCTAATATACACATCAAGCACACTTGGGGGAAGAAGTTTTTAACACCTTTATTGAGTTGTAACTGACATACAATAAACTGAACATATTTAAAGAATGCACTTCTATAAGCTTTGATGTATGACTGCAACTGTACATTACCACCACAATCAAGATAATGAACATATCCCTCACCCCCAAAGTTTCTGGGTGCCCCCTTTATAATCGTTCCAACTGATGTCCTCACCTGACCCATCCCTGGGCAACCACTGATTGTTTCTGTCACAGATTTGTATGCATTTTTTAAACTTGTATTTCAATGGAATTGTATAGTATATATTCATTTTCTTTGGTCTGGCTTCCTCTACTTAGCATAATTATTTATGAGAGTCAATTATGTTTTTGTCTGATTCAATATTTATTTTTTAAGGGTGGTTCTGGGGATTGAACTCAGGGACACTCAACCACTGAGCCACATCCCCAGGGTCTGACTGAGTTGCTAAGCACCTCGCCGTTGCTGAGGCTGGCTTTGAATTCAAGACCTCCTGACTCAGGCTCCCGGGCTGCTGGATTACAGGCTTGAGCCACCATTCGTGGCTAATAGTTCATTTTTATTACTGAGTAGTACTCCATTTTATGGACATACCACATTTGTTTTTCCATTTCTATATCTTCTTTGATGAAGTTTTTTTATTGGGTTGTCTGTACAATTTGAATCTTTTCTATTTATTGAGATTAGCTTTGTGGCCCAGAATATATTCCATTTTGGTAAAAATTCCATGATTGAAAGAACGTATATTGTGCTCTTGTTACCTGCCCTGTTCTCTATATGTCAATTATTTCAAGTTGGTGGTGTTATTCAATTCACCTCTATCTTAGTGATTTTCTGTATACTTGTCCTACCAGTTATTGAAAGAGGAGTATTGGAAATCTCCAATTTTAACTGTGGATTTATATTTATGTGTAATTCTATCTGTTTTTGCTTCATGCAAATAAACATTTAATATTTTGTCTTCATTTTTTTGTTTGTTTGTTTAATGGTACCAGGGATTGAATCCAGAGGCACTTAAACACTGAGCCCCAGCCCTGTTTTGTTGTTGTTGTCTTTCTTATTTAGAGACAGAGTCTCACTAAGTTGCTGAGGCTGGCTTTGAATTTTCAATCCTCCTGCCTCAGCCTCACAAGCTGCTGGGATTATAGGTGTTTGTCACTGTGTCTGGCTGAGATTTTTTCTTCTTGATGAAAAGTGACCACCTTGTTATTATGAAATGGTCCTCTATGCTGGATAATATTCTTTACTACAAGATCTCTTTTGGCTGATAGTAATAAATCCACTCCAACTTTTCATGATTAGTGTGGCATACCTTTTCCATACTTTCAACCAAGTTTGTACCTCTGTATTTAATGTGGGTGTCTCGTCGCCAAGCAATTGTTTGGATCTTGCTTTTTATCCACTCTGACAATCTCTTCCCTTTCAGAGGGATGTTCAGACCACCTATGTTTAATGTGACTATTAATAAGGCTGGACTGAAACCAACCTTGCTGGTTTCTGTTTTCTCTTTTCCCCACCTGTTTTTTGTTCCTTTTTTCTTCTTCTTCTGCCTTCCAGGGACTATATTTTATGATTTCTTTTAACTCGTTTGTTGGCTAACAATAGGTTGTGGTAGGGTGCGTACTACACATCCTCTGTCCCTGTCCACTGGTCAGTGCTTTAGTCTATGTCACATACAGCATAAGGCCATTAAAAGAGCAAACATCAATCTCTCCCTATTGGCCTTTGTGCTATTTTTATATATTTTCCTTCTATATAGGTTACAAACCCCACAATATATTGTCATTACTTTTGTTTTAAAGAGTCAATTGTCTTTTTAATATCTTTAAATAATGAAGTTTTTATAAAAATAATTAACCACATATTAACATTCCCAGAGCTTTTCATTCATTTGCATTTTATTCATTCAAATATTCACCTGGCATCACTGTGCTTCTTCTACCTGAAGGACTTCCTGGAATATTTTGTACAAGGCAGGTGATACGTTCTTTCTAAACACACAGAAGAGGGACTGTGGGGTCACACTGTGGTTCTGGTTGTAATTTGTTTAGGATCCGCCATCTTGTTTTCCATAATGGCTGTATTGATCTTTATTCCCACCAACGGTGCACTAGGATTCCCTTTCTCAACACTGTCATCAACATTAACATGAGGTGAGATCTCATGATGACTTTAATTTTAATTTGCATTTTCTTGATGATTTTTGAGGTTGAACACCTTTTCATATACCTGCTATTGATTTTTATGTCTTCTTTGGAGAAATTAAGTTTGTCTGAGAAATTAAATTCAATTGGTTTTTTGCTATCGAGCTATTAAGAGTTCTTCGTAAATTTTGGATACTAACCCCTTCCCTATCAGATATGTGATTTTTACATACCTTTTCCTAGTCTGTAGATTAACTTTTCATTTTGTTGACTGCTTTCCTGTTTAGGAGCTTTTTAGTTTGATATAATCCCCTTTATTTATTTTGCTTTTGTAGCCTGATTTTTTCAATGTGATATTAAAAAAAAAAAAAAAGTCATTGCCAAGGTCAACATAAAGGAGCTTTTCCCCATGTTCTCTTCTAAGATTTTTATGGTTTAAGTTTTATATTTTAAGTATTTTATCCATTTTTCAGTTGATTTTTGTGTATGGTATAATATAAGGATCCAATTTCTTTCTTCTGCATTTGGAAATTCAATTTTCTCAGCATCATTTATCGAGGAGACTATCCTTTCCCCCACTGTGTCCTGGTGCCCTTACTGAAAATCAATTGACCACATGTGTAAGGATTTATCTGGGCTTTCTGTTCTATTCCATTGATTTGTGTTTCTATCTTCATACCAGTATCATACTGCTTGGGTTACCGTAGTTTTGTAATATAACTTTAAAACAGGAGTGTGATGACTCCAGTCTTTTCTTTCTCAGTATTGGATTGGCCATTATTTCCTTAATAAATTTTTTGTCCCTCCTGCTCTCTGAGAACTCCAAATATCATGTGTATTCATCCACTTGAAGCTACTGCACAGCTCATTAATCATGTTTGTGTTTTTCATTCCATTTCCTCTCTTTGTTTGACAGTATATAATTTTTATTACCATATATTCCAAGTCCACTAATCTTTTCTTCTGCAATACCTAACCTGGCATTGATCTCACCCCGTATATTCTTCCCCTCAGATACTGGAGTTTTCATCTCTAAGTTTGATTCATATCCTTTAATATCTTCAAGGTCTCTAATTAACATCCTTGATCTTTCCTCTAGCTTCTTAAATATATGAAACTACATTAAAATAATCCTTTAAATACCCTTGTTTGCTATTTTTATCACCTATGTCTTTTTCTTGTTTCTGTGCTTATCTAGTTAGTTTTGATTGGATACCAGACATTATTAATTTTACCTTATTGGATGCTGCATATTTTTGTTTCTATAAATACTCTTGAGCTTTGTTTGGATTCAGATTTTACCTTTGTCTGCTTTGTTCAGTAGAACTAGAGCGGCTTTAATCTGGGGCTAACTTTTCCCACTCATGAAGCAGAGAAAAACAATACAAAGGTGTGGACACCACAACTATGAGGTATCTCAATCTAAATTGCTCCCATACCCCTTTAGAATATATGGAGTTGTTAAGTAGAAGAGCAATTACATAGGGTGTACTCCATAAGCCTCACTGTATACAAAACAACTGCCTGACCTACTAGAAGGACCCCACTCTTGTGAGACCTTCAGAGAAAGTGGAATCATGTCCTACAGGCACCTCTGTGAACTCTAGCTGCCTTTTCCTCCCTGGACTTCCAATCCATCTCCTCAGCTCAGGCAGATCCCTGAGCTCTGCCTGGTACCCCTCCCTGTGTGGTGGCCAAAAACTCTCTCTAGGCACAAGCTGGAGCAACAGTAGGACTCAACTTGCTTCTTGGCAATCCTTGTCCTTTGTTGTCTACTATCCAGTGTCACAAAAACCCACATATTTCATTCAGTTTTTCAGTTGTTTCAGTAAGGAAGACATCCAGGACCTGTTCTTCCATCTTTTCCAGAATAGGAAGTTTATCCCATATGCCTTTATTTCTGTGTGTCTCTGCCATACTTCTCACTATGTGAAAAATTATTCTCTGACAACCACTAATTATCCTTTAGACAGCAACTCACATGTCATTTTATCCAGAAAAGTCTTCCTAAACTCCTCAAAATTCAGCTAGGTTCTCTTCCACATTGCCTCCTCTCCATGGCACTGACAACAGTGTACTGGAATTATTGTTTTGGTCCCCACTGGAGTGCAAGAGCTAGAGAGGAGGGACCTGTGCTGTACACCACGGAGTCCCCAACACCTAGCAGGGCTCCAGGCACAGAGGTGCTCTGTAATGCACCTGAATGAAAATGCAAATGAGACCAGACAGCAACTGTACCCACACTTGTTTTATCACTGAGTTGTGGTCTGTATCATCCATTTCCTAAAAGATTATAACCCACCAGATATAACCTTGAAGTAGTTTAACATCTATTATTAGAACAAGCTATATTTTCATATTAAAAACAAAAACAATTACACTGAATGGTACCCTCCCCCTGCCCACGGTACCAGCTACCCACAATGCAAGCACTATGTCTCCCAGACCTGGAAGGAAAAAAATCTATTACCAAAGGCCTGAAAATTCAAACCAATTTCAGAGATAAATTTTTTTTTACTGTTATTCAATGATAAGGGAAACGTCACACCTGAATAAGGGAAACAAAACTAGAAGGAGCCAGGGCTGGGGCTGGGGCTCAGTGGCAGAGCACTTGCATAGCACATGTGAGGCACTGAGTTCCATCCTCAGTACCACATGAAAAAATAAACAAATAAAACAAAGGCCTGCTATCCATCTACAGCTAAAAAAAAAAAAAAAAAATTAGAAGAACCCAGTATAACCTTTCCCAACTAATAAATTTAAGTTGTGGTCTATTAATTTCTCTCCAGAGTTAATGTCACCAATCCTCAGTCAAATCATTTCTTTTGAACTAAGCAAAAATTACATGAACATTACTTCCTTGAGTGTTACTCTTTCTCCAAGTCGTAAGAAGGCAAATTTGAAAGAACCAACCAAAAACGAGAAACATACATGAAGGCCAATGAAAAGGCAGAGGAAATGCTAAAACGTCAGCTCCCAAGATGGGCAGATGACATTTGTGAACAGTGCCCATGCCTGGACCGCTGCCTATGCTCCCAGACCCTCAGGGGGCCTCTCCAGAGGGTCATACAGAGGTTAAACAATCTGAGTCCATTCCAAACTGCTCCAGTCTAAACTGGAGACACAAGTGCCACTATGTTTTGACAGTTAAACTACCTCCATTTCATAACACAGAGAGAGAACCAGGAAGATGCTTCCGCGAAATCCTCTGAACCGCTCCACAAAATATCAGAGCAGCATAAAAGAACGCTTCCAATATTAAGAATTAACTTAGCAGAAGATGATAAAAACTAAGACTTATCATCCAAGATTGAATTCTTATCAAATACAACCAGAGTTTTATGGGGATCCTGCAAGAGATGCAGTTAGGCAACAAAACTCCATTATCTTGCCCAGGAAAGAATTCTAGAAGGTCAGAACTTACACTGCAGGGATTGTTGGCTGTCTGGGCTGGGCTGTAGAAGGACCCCCACTGGGTGGCTCGCCTTTCCTCGCGGGAAGGGGTGCTATTCACAGGCAGGCTGGCTGGGACCCCGGACACTGCACCTGCTGCACCGGCAGCCTGGCTGCTGGGGGCCACCAGGGCAAAGGCGTCGTCCAGGAGGGAGTGCATGGTCTGGCGTGCCTCCTCGATGGATGGCTGGGGTGGGATGTACTGAGAGGCCGGGGTGAAGGGCAGGCCCGGATACCTGCCCAGCTCAGCTGAGGATGGTGTCTGCACATCTGCTGGGAGATCAGGATCAGACTACAGTGGGGAAATGACAAAGGGAAAAAAAAGAGAAAAACACAGACATGAGCTTTTGTGGTGGTCCTGAAACAAAACTACAAGGCCAAAATGGAATTTATCAATTCTCCTGAAATTGAGGAAAAGATTTATCATAAGAAAATGTTTTAAATGACAGCCAAGGAATATGCATTACATTATATGAGGGATGCAGGGTTATATCAGAAAGAAAACAAAAAAAAAAAACAAAAATGTGGGAATATTCAACTCTTTTTTTTTTCAACTAAACTGAACTATCTGAAATGTATTTTAATTCTTGAAAGTATACATTTTTACTGAAAGCCTAAACAGCCAATAAATATGATTCAAAGTGTACATTCTCTAAGAGACACCACACCTGTACCACACACAACCTAATAGACTCAAACTTCATTAGTACATTAACATAAAGAACAGGAGAGACAAAAACCCCAAACCAGTGACCAGACCTTCAGTAGGAATAGTTTTGAGGGGCCTCAGATCCCACTCATGGTATCCATTTCTATAGTAGTAGCAGGGAAAAATAATATAATATAATAATACAACAATAATACACCTCACCTACAAGGCATCTCCATCTAAATTGCTCTCATACCCCTTTAGAATATACAGAGTTGTCAAGTCTAGAAGAGCAATTACATAGGCTACATAGGGTGTACTTCATATGCCTTGCTGTATACAAAACAACTGCCTGACTTACTATAAGGACCCCACTCTTGTAAGATATACAGAGAAGGTGGGATTATCACCCTCCAACACAGTAAACTCTAAATCAATGTACATTAAACATCATCAAAGAACCAGCAGGGAAACCATACTATGAAACACACTTGGACAACAACTCACAACAGATATCCCAGAACACTTTGCCAAGAGAAAGGACCATAAGGACCTGACATAAAAGTAGAGAAATCCATCCCAACAGATACACAAATCTCAACATAGGTATACAAGAAATATGAAAAAAAGGTAACATGACACCTAAAATTTGTAATTCAGCAGCAACTGAATCCAAAGATAGAGAAATGGATGAAATAATAGATAAAGGATGATTACAAAATAGATCAATGAATTTCATGAGAACACAGAAAACAACTGGATAATTTAAGGAAATCAATACAGGGTATAAATGGAATTCAAAAAAGAAATAGAGATATTAAAAAAGAACTAAATAAAAGCCTTAGAAATGACAGGCACAGTGAATCAAATGAAAAATTCAGTTGAGAGTCTCTCTACATAATAGACCAAGTAGAAGACACAATATCAGAGCTGGAAAACAAAGTGGTTGGCCTTGAATATTCAAACAATAAAGCAGGAGTAGAAATTTTGATCAGAATATACAAGAATTCTGGGACATTAGGAGACTAAACTTGAGAATCATCAGCATCAAGGAAGGAATAGAAATACAGGTCAATGGCATTGACAAGTATTTTAGTGAAATGATAGCAGAAATTTTTCCAGACCTTGGGAAAGAAAAGAATGTCCATATATGAAAGGTGTTTATAATCCCAAATAGATAAGATCAAAAACATCCTCTCCATTATATGTTATAATTAAAATGCTAGATATACAGAACAAAAATAGAATTTTTAAAGCCTCAAGAAAAAAATGTCAGATTACATTTAGAGATGAACCAATCAAAATAACATCTGATTTCTCAAAACTCTAAAATTGAGGAGGGCATGGAAAGATGTGTTTCAAGCCCTGAAGGAAAATAACTGCCTAGCAAGATTACTATATCCAGCAAAGCTATCATTCGTAACAGAAGGTGAAATAAAAACCTTCGAAGATGAGCAAAAGCTAAAAGAATTCATGACTACTAAGCCAGTATTACAAAAGATACTTAAAGAATTCCTAAACACAAGAGAAGATTTCAAAAATAGCAGAGCTCAGGAAAGGATAAATCTCATTAGAAGACTATTTAAACAAATGAGACTTAGGATTGAATTAAACAATAGAAGTAAAGCAAAATGGCAGGAAATACTAAACAGCTCTCTATAACAACACTGAATATAAATGGTCTTAACTCTAATTAAAAGACACAGACTGGCAAATTGGATTTAAAAACAAGATCCAACAATATGTGTTGCACACAAGAGATATACACCTCTCAGGCAAAGACATTCACAGGTTGAAAGTTAAAGGATAAAAAGTGATATTCCCTGCAAATGGAGCCTGGAGCAAGCAGGAGTATCTACTCTTATATTGGGCAAAGCAGACTTCAGGGTAAAATTAATCAGAAGAGACAAAGATCACTTCATACTGGTAATGGGAACAGTCCAACAAGAAGACATAATGATAGTAAATATTGTGCCCCAAACATCACTGCACCTAATTACATAAAACAAACACTACTTAACATAGGCTCAGATCCCAAAACAATAATATTGAATGATTTCAACACACCTCTCTTACCAATAGTAGGTCATCTGGATATAAAATCAACAAAGACACTTCAGACATAAAAAAAATACTATAAATCAAATGGAATGGACTTAACCCACATTTATAGAATGTCATACCCAAAAGCTAAATACACTTTCTTCCCAGCCTCTCATAGAACTTTCTCCAAAATAGACCATATTTTAGGCAACAAATACACACAAAAAAATTTATTGACATAATTACTTGTATTTTATCAGATCATAATGGAATGAAATTAAGAATTAAGAGTAAGAAAAACTACATAATGAAATGAAATTAAAAATTAAGAACAAGAAAAAGTATATAAACACATGGAGACTGAACAATGTATACTTTTGCGGGGTCAGGCAGTACTGGGAATTGAGCCCACAGGCACTCTACCACTGAACTACCCTTTTTAGTCTTCATTTTGAGACAGGGTCTCACTAAGTTGCCCAGGTTCACCTAGAACCTGTGAATCCTCCTCTCTCAGCCTCTTAAGTAGTTTGGATTTCAGGCATGCTCTACCACACCCAGCTGAACAATACACTTTTGAATGATGAATGGGGGATAGAAAAAAAATCAGAGAAGAAATTTTTAAATTCTTAGAATCAAGTGAAAATGAAGATACGACATATTAGAATCCTAGGGACACTATGAAGGCAGTTCTAAGAGGAGAGTTTATAATTGAGTGTCAACATAAAAAAACTAAAAAGACCCCCACATAAACAGCCTAACGTTGCATATCAAAATCCTAGATAAACAAGAACAAACCAATTCAAAGGCAATAGAAGGAAACAATTAAGAGCAGAGTCTAAATTAATAGTATAGAGAATTTAAAAACAATACAAAGGATCAGTGTAATAAAGAATTGGTCCTTTGAAAAGATAAATACAATTGATGAACTATTAGCCTAACTAACCAAAAGAAGGAGAAAGGCCCAAATTAATAAAATTAGAAATAAAAAAGGAGACATCACCACAGACATCACTGAAATTCATGGGATCTTCATTAGGGGCTATTTTGAAAACTTACACTCCAATAAGTTGAAAAATTGAGAAGAAATGGGATAAACTTCTAGAAACATATGACCTACCCAAATTGAACCAAGAGGATCCCTAATGTAAATGGTCCAGCCAACATCAAGCAATGAGATTGAATCAGTAATAAAAGCCTTGCACCAAAGGAAAGCTCAGAACCAGATGGATTCTCAAATTCTACAAGACCTTTAAAGAAAAACTAATACCAACACTCTTCACCTTATTCCATGAAATAGAAAGGGAATGGGGGGGGGGCACTTCCAAATTTATTCTATGAAGCCAGTATCACTTGAAACCTAAACCACATAAGGACACATCAAGGAAAGAAAACTACATACCAATATCCTTGAAGAACATAGATGCAAAAATCCTTAATATTAGCAAATTACATTCAACAACACATTAAGATTGAATAAAAAGATCAAGTGAGTTCATTTCAGGAATATGAGGATAGGTCAATATATGCAAATCAATAAATGTAATTCACCATGTAAATAGAATCGAGGACAAAAACCATGTAGCGATCTCAATAAATACAGAAAACTCAGCACTACTCAGTACCCATTCATGATAAAATCACAAAAGAAACTGGGAATAGAAAAAAATGATCTCAAAATCATTTACGTTATACACAATAAACCCAAAGTCAACATCATATTTAAAGGGAAAAAAAAATGAAAGAACTTCCTCTGAAATAAGGAACAAGACAAACATGTCCATTTCACCACTCCTATTCAATATAGTACTTTAAATGTTGGCCAGACTAATTAGTCAACAGGAGGAAATAAAAGATATGCCAATAGTAAAGGTAAAAGTCAAATTATCACTGTTTACAGGGGATCATATCTGATCCCATACTTAAACAATACAAAAAGCTCCATCAGAATACTTCTAGAGTTAGTAAACAAATTCAACAAGGTAGAAGGATACAAAATCAACACAGAAAAAAAAATGGTAGCTTTTTATACAATAACCTGCTGAAAAAGAAATTAGGAAAATAATTCCATTCACAATAGCCTCAAAAAAAAAAAAAAAAAAAAAAAGCCCTTGGGAATAAATCTAACCAAGGAGGTGAAAGACCTCTACAATAAAAATTATAGAACACAGAAGAAAACTAAAGAAGACACAAGAAGATGGAAAAACCTCCCTTGTTCATGTAAAAGGATTAAAATGGCCATATTACCAAAAGCAATCTTCAGATTAAATGCAATTTCCATCAAAATACTAAGAGTCTTTAGAGAACCAGAAAAAGCACCCCTAAAATTCATAGGATAGAATAAAAATCTCAGAATAACCAAAGCAATTTTAAGCAAAAAGAGAAATTCTGGAGGCATCACAATACCCAGTTTTAAATCATACTACAGAACTATCACAATAAAACAGCACAGTGCTGTCCTGTAAACAGACATGTAGACCAATGAAACAGAATAGAAGGCACAAAGACAAACCCATAGGATACAGTTATGTGATCTTTCACAAAGAAAGTAAAAACATACATTAGAGAAAACAGAGTCTTTTTAACTAATGGTGCCAGGTAAA